TGGTCACTAACTAGGATAGGGACTAAGCCAGGAAAGCCTGCAGGCTAAGCCAGACCTGGAGGGGGACATCCCCTCTTCTATCCTAATTGGTTACTAACTAGGATAGGGACTAAGCCAGGAAAGCCTGCAGGCTAAGCCAGACCTGCAAGGGGGCCTCCCCTCTTCCATCCTGGATGGTCACTAACTAGGATAGGGACTAAGCCAGGATAGGGAATTAGCCTGCAGGCTAAGCCAGACCTGTAGGGGCCCTCCCTTCTTCTATCCTGGATGGTCACTAACTAGGATAGGGACTAAGCCAGGATAGCCTGCAGGCTAAGCCAGACCTGGAGGGGGACAGTTGGTCATTTGCACTACTTAGGTGACCCTGAGGAAACAGACAAACCTCCAAGTGGCCTCAATGACTCTCTTAAAGAATGCAAATAACCAACTGTCTTCAAGGAATATCAATCCTTCCATTCCCCACCATCCATCCAGTCAGAGCTGAACAAGCTTCTTGGATGAGAAGCGAAACAAACGTCTTCAGAGAAAAACAGCTGCCTGTTGAAAAAAGCACCTTTGGCACAACAATGACCTGGAGGACTGAGAATCTCCATAGACACTAATTCTGAAATATTATTATATACAAAATTAGATTGTCACATTCATATCTAAGTCCAGATGGGAAAAAAAACACAGCTCTTTGGAAAATTCAGCTTCGGAGAACAGAGTAAAATAGGACATTGTTTTATTCTTACAATGAAAAACAAAATACGGGATGTTTTTACAAGTGAATCAGCATTGAATAAACCTCTTCTCCGCCAGCCTTCCTTTGATCTTGATATAAAAAGAGCCCATTTTCTTCTTCCTCTGCTCAGAGGGACAGTGGCACTTTCATTTTTCTCAGTTCCCGTTTGGGAGTTTTAGACTTCTTGTCTGATTTAGGAGTTTTTAGCCTTTTGGGGGCCACAGTTGGTTTTGCCAAGGGCTGCTGGGCATCTTTGTTCTGTGTCTTTTCCAAAAACTCTTGCTTGGGCACCTTGGGTTTTCGACCAGACCTCCGTTGGTTTGATTTCTCTAAGGCCGAGGCCTCTCCGGGTGTTTCTGGCTGCGAAACAGGAATCTCTGGCGACAGACCGGCCTTCCTTTTGCTACGGAGTTTTGGAGAGCTGGTCTCCAGCTGTGTTTCTGCACCCAACTTCAGCTTGACCACCTATTTGGAAAACAGAAACCAAGACACAAAGACACATTGAGAACAAAGCTGGCTGGGGAATTCTGGGAGTTGAAGTCCACAGTTGCTCAAGTCAAGAGGCATTGCTCTAAATCAGTGGTCGCCAACCAGAGGGCTAGAGACCACTGGTGGCCCGCAAGAAAATTTTGGTGGTCTGCAGAGAAATGTCACCCCACAAAGCAATTAATCCAGGCTGCACAGGAACACAAGGCTGTACCGCCCACATGGCTTGCAGGAACACAAGGCTTGTGTTGCTTGCATTGTGAACAACATGAGGTAGTGAGGGGAGGGGGGAAAGGGCAGAGGAGGGGAACTTGCCCCATTCACCCCAAGTGCCTCATGTGGCCACTGGGCTGCTTCTTTCCGCTTCTTTCTTCTTCTGCTTTTGGCTGCACGCAAGGAAAGCAGCAGAAGTCTGTCTTTCTCTCCCCCAAATTCCGCCAGAAATGAGTCTTTGGGCCCTGCAAGGCCTCCTGCTCCAAGAGGCTGTGCCAGCAAAGACTCATTTCTGGTGGAGTTTGGGGGAGAGAAAGAAAGACTTCTGCTGCTTTCCTTGCATGAAGCCAAAAGTCTTTCCCTTTCTCTCTCTCTTTCCCCTTGAAAACGGAGCTGGAGATGTTATCCTGCAATCCCAAATAAAGAACGATCGATCGGTAGGAAAATGGGGTGGGGGATTTTCCTGCAGACTTTTGGGGGGATTTTCCCAGGGTCTCTGGTCCGCGGGATTTAAAATTATGAGTTTGGTGGTCCCTGAAGTCCAAAAGGTTGGCGACCCCTGCTCTAAATCGAGAAGCTTATACGCTTTTTTTTACCTGTGGAGGAAATCGGGGTTTTTTTGGAATTTATTTTTTGAAATAAATACCTGTTCTTTTTTCTCAGAGGGCTGAGTTTCAATAGGAACCAGTTGTGGGATCTCTTCCTCCTCCTCCTCTTTTGATTTCTGGGCGGGGGCTTCCACCCCGTCTGTTTTAGGCACGTCGGCTTCGGGAGCTCCACTCGTGTCGCTTTTTGTGCCCGCCTGATCCGTGGTCTTCGGTTTATCCTTACTTTTCTTTTTCTTTCTTTGCAGTGTCTTTAAAAAAAAAAGGAAAATTGGTGCCTTAACAGTTGCTCATAGAGGTAAGGCACCATTTTTTTTTCCTGTTTAAATGTATGTTTCAGTAATACAAATCTCACCTGTTGGTTTTCAGCGCTTTTCTTTTTCTGAGCACCAACCTGCCCCTGGAGAGCAGAGTGGAAGACAGGAAGTGCAATTGATTTGCTGGTTTTGAGGTGAAGAACTTTCACGCTTTTCCAGATCTGGAGCAACGTAAAGAGGAGGATGGGAGAAACATCTGTAGTGTCGTAAAGCGAGCAAATGAAAGAGAGAAGCCCAAGAAATAAACCCCGTCAAGTCGCTTTGGGAATTTTGAAATGGATTCCTGAGGAGGGAAGCCCTACTAAGAGGAGTGGGATTTCCCCCCCTTAATTCAGCGGTCCTTCAATAGTATGATTTGGAATAATGCTTCCCAGTTTTGGCAATTTGAAGATGTGTGGACTTCAACTCCCAGAATTCCCCAGCCAGCAGGAAAGAAACTTCTGGAAGTCCTTTTGGGAACATCTTTGAGCCCTCCAGGCAACATTTCACCCCCAATTTGCCAGATTTGACATATGTCTACCATACAGACTCCCCCAAGGAAGAAGCTACAGCTAGTCCTTGATTTATAACTGTAATGGGACCTCAAATTGAATGCGGCAGTCGGTCGTGATTTCCGTCCATCGCCGAAGAAGCCCAAACCGGAAGTCTCTTTGAATAGTTGCTAAGTGATAGGTCGTAAGTCAACAACTACGCCCTTTCCCGGACCAACGGTCCCTACTCACATTCCCTCATACCCTGGTCACTTCCCACCTTGACTATTGCAATGGGCTCTACGTGGGGCTGCCCTTGAAGAGCATCCGGAAGCTCCAGTTGGTGCAAAATGCAGCAGCCCGCATGATTTTGTGCAGACCCCGGTGTGCACATGTATCGCCTCTTCTGCGGGAACTGCCTTGGTTGCCAATTTGCTTCCGGGGGCAATTCAAGGTGCTGGTTGTCACCTTTAAAGCCCTTCATGGCTCAGGACTAGGTTATCTGAGGGAACATCTCTTGCAGGTCACATTTATCTGACCCATCAGAATGGAAAGACAGGAAGTGTTGCAAGTCCCATCCTCAAGGGAGATACACCTGGTGGACCCAGAAGAAGGGCCTTGTCTGTGGTGGCTCCCTCTCTCTGGAACATCCTCTCCCCAGAGATTAGAATGGCCCCCACTCTAGCTCTCTTCCAGAAGGCGCTGAAGACCTGGTTCTGCCAGCGGGCCTGGGGAACCCAGAGAGGGATGGAGCCCATCAAATGGCTCATGTGATCTGCTGTTGTTGGGACGGGGTGGGAGTTGGGGGGGGGGTAATTTTATCTTTTTATTTTTTTTTCCAGATTTTGTTCTATTGTATATTAATTTATTTGATTCTTTTTATTAGTTTTTATTGTTTTTTATTTTTTGTTTTAAATATGGTTTTACATTCTGTAAGCCGCCTCGAGTCGCCATGGGCAAATAGGTGGCAATATAAATTCAATAAACAAATAAACAAACAACTTGTATAGAGTCTGTCTGAAACTGACTAGTTCACTGTCAGGTGCAAAGGATCAGAACCGTACATTACATTGCAGCTCAGATGATTTATTGTTTAAGCCTATACAGAAGAACCTAGTCAACTCAAGTTCATCACTAAATTGGGACCACCAGATAAGGGTCAACAGAATTCAAGAGGGGTTGGACTTAGACCATTCGTGGGAACGTAATGAATCTAGGCTGATGATTCGTTTAACTCCCCCTTCCCTTCCCCAGCTCTGCCTGCTCTTCCCCTACGTCACAAAACACTCTTTACCTGTGGAGCTTTGTCAGCTATTGCTTTGGCAGCTGCTACAACATTCTCAGTGATCTCTGAGGCATCCATGCTGGTGTGCCCAATACGAACCATGCTGAAAAGAAATCCAGAATATTATTTTCTTCTGTCGGATTACAGTATTACAGATTCTATCTTGGGACAGAATCGTAAAGAAAGGGGCTTGAGGTCTGTGTGCTACGGATGACCTACAAACTGCCCGTCCTTCACAAAAAGCTTAACTTCACCCTCAGAGATCCCCCATTTTTCCCGCTCTTTTGGTAGGCCTCTTGGCCTGCTTGCCATTCCCCTTTAAACTGCTCAGAAGAGCTGGATTAGAGTAAAAAAAGGAGTTCTTGCGGATTTTACTCCACTTTTTTGTTGCTGACTATACGGGCTGTTGCTCATCTCTGTTTCAAGCCATTGAGCCAACACCACCTGAAAAAAAATTCCATGGTCATGTGGCCAGCATGACATCCCAGAGCGCTGTTACCTTCCCAACGAAGTGGCGCCCAAAGAGCTGAGGTGGCACAGTGGTTAGAATGCAGTACTGCAGGCTAATTCTGCCGACGGCCAGCGGCACGAGTCTCACAGGCTCAAGGTTGACTCAACCTTCCCTCCTTCTGAGGTGTGTAAAATGAGGAGCCAGATTGTTGGGAGGGCCAGAGGCTGACTCTATAAACTGCTTAGAGAGGGCTAGAAAGCACCGTGAAGCAGTATATAAGTCTAAGGGCTATTGCTAGCCATTTATCTACTCGCATTTCCATGCTTTTCGAACTGCTAGGTGGGCAGGAGAGGAGAGTAAGGAAGGGAGCTCACCCCGTCCTGTGGTGATCGGATTTCAAACATGGTCCGCCCGTTTTCCAGCCCAGCGGTTAAGATAACCGCTGAGCCGCCATGCCACCCACACTCCCAACACTAGAGAGCTGCAAGTCAAGATACTTACTAGCAACTGCCCTTGTTAGTGACTGGGAGAACCGTTCCGTGGATGCGTTTGTTGATTTCCTTAGCTAGGTCCTTGGCTTTCAAGTCCACAGAGAGAGGCGCCCTGGTATTGGGACAGAGAAGGTAGGAAGTGAGATTTCCACTGCTTTAAATTCAGCGGCTAGAAAAGCTAGAAAGTGCCCTGGAGGGAGACCACATTCTGTTTCTTTAATGTTGACTTTTCAATAGGTTTTGAATACGTACGTACGTGTACTTCACACTAAGCTGCCCAAGAGTCATTTTTTTCTGACATGGGTGGCTAGATAAATTTGATAAATAAAAATGAGGCCAGGGATAGATAGATAGATAGATAGATTTACTTTTTACGCAGATAAAAATGTTTTCCCATCTGGGAAGGCAGCAATCTTCGAATGCGATCATCGGACAGAAAAAGAGCAAATCGGCTCAGCAGGCGGCGTTTCGCTTCAAAGGGCTTGTATTCAGTCTTGAGCGTTTTGTAAGAGATGACCTGCGAAAAACAAAAAGGGGACAGACAACTGTCAGGATTCCAGCAATCGCCCTAATTAAATCATGATTCTCGAGCCAAACTATGGTTGGCTCAACAATCCATCATTACATGTTTAAAGAAACACTGGTGGGCATCATCTTTGGATCAAGTCAGAGTTTTGCTCTTTTCCCAAAATAGAGAGAGCAGATATAGGAGAAAGTGTAGCGTTCATCGGAAGCTTCATACCTCAGTGATGGATGTGATTCCATGTCGGTCCAACAACTTCTTGTATAAATTCTCGGTCTGTTCCGCTGTTAAGCCAGGTTCGTCTTTGGTAAAGAGGCAAATCTCCGAGGTGTCCGGCAGAATGCTATGGGGCAGGTTTCTAGAACACCAAACAGACCGCAGGCTTCAGCCAAGCAACAGCTGTGGGACCCCTACAGCTACAGAATGACTGGTTGTCCTCGACATACAGCGGCTCATTTAGTGACCATATGAAGTTATAACGGCACTGGAAAAAGCGACTTAGGACCGTTTCGCACGCTTGTGACGGTTGCAGCATTCCCCGTGGTCACGGGGCTCCAAATTCAAACGCTTGGCAACTGACTCATTTATGCAATCGCCTTTTGTGACTTTCTGACAAGCAGAGTCGACAGGGAAGCCAGATTTCACTTAACAGCCATGTTGCTAGTGATTGCAATGATTCACTTAAGCCACAGCGGCAAGAAGGGTTGTAAAATAGGGCAAAAATATGTCTCACTTAGCAATATAAATGTTGGGCTTAATGGTGTGGTTGTAAACTGAGGACTACCTATATAGTCGATCTTCATTCAACAGCAGGGCTGTGCAATCTTGGCAACTTTTAAGAGCTGTGGACTTCAAACTCCCAGAATTCTTCAGATGGTCATGATGAATTCTGGGAGATGAAGTTGACAGGTCTTCAAAGTTGCCAAGGTTGGACGGTCCTGCTCTACATCAGGGGTGGGATTCAAAAATCCCAGCAACTGGTTCACTGCCTGGTTACTGGGTGGGCCTACTGGAACTTCCTGTTTCTGGCCTCCCCCAGGCTCTGGAGGCCCAAAGGAAGCCGGAAATAGGCCCGTTTTGCCACTTCCGGTTTTCCCGGGAAGGCTGTTTTTTCACCCTCCCAAGGGTGCAGAGGCCTCCTCTGGAAGAGCAAAAATGGCCTCCCCCAGGCTCTGAAGGCCCCCTGGAAGCCAGAAATAGGCCCGTTTTGGATTTCCGGAAGGCCCGTTATTTTCCTCCTCCCAGAGCCTCTGCATGGACCCTGTACTTACCTCCATCAAAAATGGGCCGCGTGGAGATTCCTGGGAGGAGAGGGGTGGGCGAGGCCAGCCGGTCAGTTGAAATACCGGTTCAGTGAACCAGCTGTAACTTTAACATCTGGTCGCCTGAACTGGTAGAAACCTACCCGTTCTACATATAAGAGCTCTGTTTTTGAACTGGGCTTATTTTTTTTGCTGCATCTTAGTTTCCAATCTTCCTAGTTACGCCTAACCGTGGATAGCATTTCACTGCGTTGGGAAAGCAGGCCTAAAATACAGAGGTAGGCTTACATTTTGATTACTTGCTCATTTGGTGGAATTTTCCAGACGGTGATCATCAAAAAGACATTCTGATCTACGTCCAACAGCACTTTGTCTCCGGACTTCTGTTTCTTCGCGTTATATGCAAGCAAAGCTTGAGTGGCTTTTTTGATCTAGAACATAAAATTGTTATCACTCATAGAATCTCCATGTCTCAAAGCCAAACAGAACACGTTAATCCAGATGTGCTCCCATAGTCCTTAATCAAATTGGCCAAACAGGTTGGCAATCAAAGGCAGCGTGACACCTAAGAGTCAGAGGCTGGGGAGATGCAAATGGGTAGTATAGCATAAGTGTCATGCCCCTGTCGGAATCTGATTCCAAGAGGGAGGCCGAGCAGCTGACAGGGAGTGGGAGTGTGGGTCCTTTGGCTGTGGAGGAAACTGGGGAAGGGCAAAGTCTGGCTGGGCAGAGCAGGGGAGAGGTAGAGCAAGGCAGAGGGAATTCGGAGGAAGACCCAGGCCCACCCCCTCTTCATCCTAAGGCACGCAGGGAGGAATGGAGAAAAGAGCAACGTGGGTTGCGTGGCTTATGGGGGAGGAAAGGGCCCTGATTCCTTTCATAAGCTGCAGCTGGGAACACAGTGTTTAAAAAGAGGACTTGCGCACAGTAAACTGTTGAGAGCAAATCGTGAATTATCTGGTATTGTCGAGGCTTATCTGGGTTCCTGGTGTCTTCCCAACTGTGTATGTTTTGCTAGCCTTTCAAGTTTGCAATTCCTTCTCCTGCCCTGTCAAGTGAATTACTGCAGCCTGGTTTGTGTGGATTTTTATTTACAGTTTGTATATACTTTGTTTTTGGACTGAATTTCTTCCACTTAAAGACTGTTTGTGGGAGAGTTTTTTCTCCAGCTGAAGATATCCTGGACATTGGGAGCAAAATTGGAGGTACTAAAGGGACTCTTCTTACTTATATGACTGTGTTGCCTTTGTGCCAAACCCCGGGTCATCACAATAAGATTTCTCTGTGCTGGTTAAGGAATCAGCCCAGAAACCAAGAGACCATGAGATCTAGTGCAGCCTGAGGTACAAAGCCAGTCAAGTATCCTTGGGCTAGTTCCTCTCTCAGCCCTGCGAAGAAAGCAAGGGTCCACCACTTCCAAAAATCTTACTAAAAAACTGTCAGGATGGATGGATAAACAGTCAACTGGGGTGGAAAGTGCAAGGCTAAAAAGTTATTTGTAAAAATAATAAAGGCTGGATTTTTAAAAATGCAAAGTGTAGAGCAATGTTGGTCTAAGACACCAGACTAGAATGCGGGAACTGGGAGTTCTAGTTGTGCTTTGGGCAGAAAAGCCATCTGGGTCAAGTCACTCAAAAACCAGAGTTGGGCCATTCTCTCTCTCTCTCAACCCTAAGAAGGAAGCAATGGCAAAACACAGCTGAAAAATACCTTGCCAGGAAAACTACAGGGATTTGATCAGGCAATCGCCAGGAGTCAAGCCTAACAGATGTTTTAACAGACGAACAGAGTTGGAAGGAACCTTGTAGGTCATCTAGTCCAACTCGCCCTGCTCAAGCAGGAGACCCTGCACCATTTCTGACCTTGATGGCAGTCCAATGTTTTCTTGAAAGCCTTCAGTGATGAAGCTCCCACAACTTCTGAAGTTAATTTCTGTTCCATTGGTTGATGGTTCTCACTGTCAGAAAGTTTCTCCTTATTTCCAGGTTGAATCTCTCCTTGTTCAGTTTCCATCCATTATTCCTTGTCTGGCCTACAGGAGCTTTGGAAAATAGCTTGACCCCCCTTCCTCCTCTCTGTGGCAGCCCCTCAAATATTGGAAAACTGCTCTCCTGTCTCCCCTGGTCACTAGACTTAGCCATACCGAGTACAAGACTACGTCGAAAGCACCAAATAATATTAAGAACAGCCATCATTGTACTAAATGTAGATGCCGCCCGACTCCCTGCGGTGATGTCAAGAGAGCGAACCCAGGCAATGGGGTTCAACGGGCAACGCACCCACAACGGGCGGTCGTGGGAACGCAACTCCTAGCAACCACACCGGCGGCGAAAAGGCAGCGCCCAGGTGTACATTTGGAGTGGGGGGGGGAATCCCTTCCCTCAGTCCGCCGCCTCACCTGGCTTTGGTCCAAAGGCAGCGCCGCCGCTTCTATCTTCGCCTCCATGCTTCTCTTTCCACGTGGGGCAGCCCTTTCTCCGCGCGTCGCCGCGCCGTGACGCAATCAGAAGGCGCCTCTTGAGGAGAGGAGCGGAAAGGCACCATAGAGAGAGAGAGGGCCAAAGGGAGCGGAGCCCGAGCGGACTTCCGATCTTGAAACCGTCGAATCACCCTAGATATATGAAACCGGAAGCTCGGGTGGAAATGGTGGGGGCGGGGGGTAGGATCAGGGCATAAATACATACATACATACATATGCCCCCCAATTGGATTATATTGGGGGAACCCTATATAAAAGTCCCCCCAAAAGTGGAATGTATTGTACATCCATTCTCAGCCAAGTTTAACCTTCATCGACATGGTTTCTCAAACTTTTGCAAACTTTTGTGGACTTTCAAGTCCCAGAATTCCCCAGCCAGTAATGCAGTTTGCAGGTGGCCAGCTGGCTTATTCAAGGAAAGCAGGAACTGTATTAAATTGGACTCCAGGTTTAACTGTATATATTGCATTGCAGAAGGTGGTGAGCACAGCACAAAACATTGTGGGCTTGTCCCCTGATACCACTAGATGACCTCGCTAGGGCCTGCTGCCTTAGAAGAGTGAGGAAAATCCTCAGGGACGACTCACATCCCAGGCAGCGCTTCTTTACTGTCCTACCATTGGGTAGGAGATAGAGAAGCATAGCCAGTTGCACCAACAGGCTGAAGAACAGTTTCTACCTGTAAGCTGTCAGACTCCTGAACGGAAAATAACTTCATGTCAACATAGTAGGATAGACTTGCGGGGACGGCGCATTGTGCAACAAGGTCACATAGTGTAATAAGATTGGGACTGGGTTAGGGACTTCTGTCCTCACTGTAGTTGTGTATGTGTGATCCCCTACAGATCGTAATACAATCTATTTAGTGTACAGCACAATACACTCTGAAGGGCCAACCATTTGTCACCCTGCTTAGGTTTTTCAGAACCAGCCAAGGACACTGAGTGATGCCTTACTGTGACTCTGCCATGAAAGGGATTGAGAGCACACTTGGAGAAGGGAGCCTCAAGGATCAGGGGCCCTAAGCTTAGAAATAATTCTCAATTATTCAGCAACAGATAATCAGCACAACTCGCTTTGCCAAATTTATTTTGCTGATCTCCCACCTTTCTATTAAACAAACACTCCAGATTTCATCCATGTTCAAACATGCCACGGGTCATAAAGACGTTCAGGGATCATTTCTATAGTATCCAACTAGAGAAATGCATCCAAACACTGGAGGCTTTCAAGAAGAGATTGGACAGCCATCTGTCAGAAGTGGTCTCCTGCTTAGGCAGGAGGTTGGACTGAATGACCTACAAGGTCCCTTCCAACTCTGTTAATCGGAGAGTGATTGGTTATGGCAAACAGAATCTGAAGACAGCCGAGTCAAACTGCAGCATCCTTCTCCCACACATAAGGAGCTCAGGGGAGAGGGCTACACAGTAAATTCTGCCGCAGTTGGAGAGACAACATGGATGACAACTCATAAAATATTTCTACAGTCTTTTAGAGTTGCCAACAGAAAGGGAGGTGGGAAAGGAGTTTGAAAGAGCAGTGTGGCAGCTTGGAAACCAAAAGTACATTCCATAAATAGTTTTTTTCAAAGATAATAACTAGATGACTGAAGTTTCCACCTCACAAAATTTGTTTGGATTTTTAGTTACAGTTTGTATGTATCTTGTTTTGGACTGAATTTTCCAGTTAAAAACTGTTCCTGGGAGTTTTTCTCCAGCTGAAGGTAACCTGGACATTGGGGGCAAAGTTGGAGATAACAAAATGATCCTTATTGCTTATTTGTGTTGCCTTTGTGTCCTTCCATTCCTCAACCATCCAGTCAGAGCTGAAGAAGCTTCTTGGAGGAGAAGTGAAACGCCTTCAAAGGAAAAATGAGAAAGTCCAGTTGCCTCTTGAAAAAAAAAAAGCACTTTTGGAACAGAAGTTGAGTTCCAAGAAGAGACAGCAAGACCCACAGTGATTGCTAGTTCACAGTAAAGCTATTATGGCTTGATTGGAAACATGCGGAAGAGGCCTTCACCCTGCAGTGGATAGACAATGGCTAAAATTGTCACGCGCCTGTTGGAATCTGACTTGGAGGGAGAGGCCGAGCAGCTGACAGGGAGTGTGGCTCCGTTGGCTGTGGAAGAAACTGGGGAAGGGCAAAGGCCAGCTGGGCAGAGCAGGGGAGAGGTAGAGCAAGGCAGAGGGAATTCGGAGGAAGACCCAAGCCCACCCCCTCTTCATCCTAGGGCACACAGGGAGGAACAGAGAAGGGAGCAACCTTGGTTGCATGGCTTACGGGGGAGGAAAGGGCCCTGATTCCTTTCATTAGCCGCAGTTGGGAACACAGTATATAAAAGAGGAAGCTGCGCACAGCCAAGTTGTTGGGAGCAAACGTGAATTTATCTTGTATCGTCGTGGCTTATCTATGTTCCTGGCATCTTCCCAACTGTGTGAGTTTTGCCATCTTTTCAAATCTGGAATTCCTTCTCCTGCCCCATCAAACTAATTACCTTTGCTTGGTTTGTTTGGATTTTTAGTTACAGTTTGTATGTATCTTGTTTTGGACTGAATTTTCCACAGTTAAAAACTGTTCCTGGGAGTTTTTTTCCAGCTGAAGGTAACCTGGACGTTGGGGGCAAAGCTGGAGATAACAAAAGGATTCTTATTGCTTATTTGTGTTGCCTTTGTGCCACACCCCGGGTCATCACACTGTCTAAACTCTCCTAGCCTTTAAAAAACATACACAAAAAAACCCCTCCTTTCCCCTAGTTTGCTACTTAAAAACAAGGAATGATCCAAAGACAATTTTGTTGAAAAAGGTACGATGACTTAAAAATCTTTCATATTACTGCAAAAAAATAAAAATAAAATAAAAGCCCAGATATTTGCAGACATAATAAAATTTATTTAAATTTTCATGCATTATGGTAGCTACAATTGTAGTCATGAATTTGGGGGACAGTCAACTTTGCTTCGTCCGTACAATGTAGCCTTATGTGAAATGGACACGGTTACAAAGGGGAAAAGAAAAGGAGAGGGAGGCAACATTTTAAATTTAGAGCTGTGTAAAATGAAACAGTTTTGTGACTGCCTGTTTATTTATTTATTTTTTTAAGAAATGGGGCATGTTCTTGGAACATACCAACCAATATGGAAAAGCATTTTGAACTTCGCATTTGGAAAACCAGCCTTCTGTAATTCCAAAGGTGCTTTTTTCAAGAGGCAATTTGGACTTTTTTTTTTTTTTAAAGACATTTCGCTTCTCATCCAAGAAGCTTCTTCAGCTCTGACTGGATGGTGGGGAGTGGAAAGATTTATACTCCTTGCAGACAGAGCTGGTCATCTGCATTCTTTTTAGAGTCATTGAGGCCATTTGGGAGTTTATCTGTGTCCTCAGGATCACCTGAATTGTGCAAAAGGATGTGGAGCCCTCTTGGAACTGCTGCAGATAAACCTCCAAGTGGCCTCAACGACTCTCTAAAAAGGAGGCAAATGACCAGCTCTATCTGCAAGGAGTGTAAATCCTTCCATTTCCCCACCGTCCAGTCAGAGCTGAAGAAGCTTCTTGGGTGAGTAGCAAAGAGTCTTTAAAGCTAAACTAGAAAGTCCAGTTGCCTCTTGGGGGAAAAAAACACACACCAACCATGACCTGGAGGACTGAGAATCTCCACAGACAAATCAGCCTTCGGTAAATGAATGCAAGAATAGGAGATGCAGTTAAATGATTTTAAGCACCACTGTTATTCTCCTGCAGCTTATATCCCTTGCAATGGTAGCGATGCTGCCTGCTACTCATTACCAAGGATACAAGCTTAGCATCCTAGTCTTACCAACAATCCAATGCAGTGTTTCTCAAACTTGACAGATGTGTGGACTTCAACTCCCAGAATTGAATGCTGGCTGCAGAATATTCCAGGTGTTGGAAATCCACATACCTTCGGGCTGCCAAGTTTGAGAAACACAAGTCTCAATATTCACGTTCTAGCTTTGTAGGTTCTTATTTCCTCAACCAAGCGCCCACAAGTTGTGTTGGGACTGTCGCTTTCGGACAACTCAACTCCAGCGTCTAACAACTGGAACTTGGATAGATCTCCAGATAACCATTTGGGGAAGGTGAAGCTAGCTCACATTGCCTGATATGCAAAAATCTGTAGACTCTGCTTGATTCTACTCAGATTTAAAAATATCCAGCTTTGAAGACAAGGTGGCAATTACCGGGACAATATCCAGATGCCGATTGGAGAGGGATACACACCTCTCTTACACAACGCCTTCCTTTCAAATCAACCTCTCTCAAGAAAGAAAAAACTACGAAGATTCTCCAGGCTTCCAAGTTAAAAGTAGCAGAGGAAGCTTTAAAATCCTAAACTGGCGCCCAAGTTCAGTTTTCGTACTGACCCGTGATACGCCAGAATTATTGCAAGAGTTGTGATGTAACAGTCCTATTTAGTTGTAGTCACCAGCCTGTGCTGCTAGGAAACAAAAAATGATATTCTCCAGGACAGACTTGGAAGATCTTATTTTACCCTGGGCCTGCATGTTTGTGTTAAATTAAGTTTGAGATATATTGATGCATCAACAAATGAAATTGTACCATAGTTGCATGAACCTGTTTTTGACTGTTTTGAACCACTGAAAAGAAAAAGGACAAAGGAAAACTGAACACGAGGTTTATCAATGATCTCATTCGGTTTTTCTCAATGGCAGCAACTTTTAAGAGGTGTGGAACTTCAACTCCAAAATATTTTAGCCGGCCATGCTTACCAGGGAATCCTGGGAGTTGAAATCCGTGCCCTTAAAAAAGTTGCCAAAGTTGAGAGAAATGCTGGTCTAATTGCTTCATTTAAAACACAGTTGGGGGGAATCTGTCGAAGATAGGAATCCCTTCCTCCCACCCCCCTCCTAGAAAACCCCAAATCATCAAATGTTCAGTTTGCTCTGCAGGTTAAAAGTGAATGCGGCAGGCATTAACATCCGGATAAAAACGTTATTCCAAAGTAATTAAGATACCAAAAAAAAAAAAAAAAGATTTCAAATTGGAGAGTTTTATTAATATGGTAATTGTGTTGGTAACATGTGCGCACATGCACATCTGAATGATCTGCCTTTGAAAAACGCTTCCGTCTGACGGGAGGGGACAATTAAACAGAAATCCTGTAGATTTTTTTTTTTTTTTCATAATTCTAGGCAATTTTGTCCACATCACTTTTACAAAGCTATTGCCAAATCTTTCCCGGGGGGGTGGTGGGTGGGAGCTGAATTTAGGAGGAGGGAGAGGGAAGAGGAGAAGGAGGAGGGGAAAAAAAAACCAAACCAAACCAAAAGAAAAAAGAAACGAAACTTTTCAGGGTTAAAACTTCAACAGTGGCATAGCAGAGCTCTCAATATGAGAAAGCTGACATAATGTGGACCTTTGCTGTGAAATCTCATCTTTGCAAAAGAGGAGGGCAGAGGTTATCAGGGGGAAGAAAAGAAAGAAGGCAATGTGGAATAGGGCTCTGCAAAGTCATTTCTCTCCCCCCTCCTTACAGTATTTGTGCAGGCTTGTCAAAAACAACGCTTAGTCCTTCTCTGGAACCAGTTTCAGAACTTTACCAATTGCGATGGTTTTACCTGGGGGGGAAAAAAGGAAGAAAGAAAAGAGAGGAAGAACAGACCTTAGGAGGCCTTGCATAAAACACCATCGGGGTCTCACATAAAATACAGGCGGTCCTCAACTTACGATCACAACTGAGCCCCCAATTTAGGTTGCTTTTAGGTGAGATATATGTTAAGCGGGCTTTGTCCCGTTTCACGACTTTTCTTGTCACACTTGTTAACTGAATCAGTGCGGTAGTTAAGTTGGTCATATGGTTGTTAGGTGAATCTGGTTCCCCCCCCCCCCCCCATTGGCTTGGCTTGTCAGAAGGTCTCAAAAAGGGGATCACGTGACCCCTGGGAACACTGCAACTGTCGTATGTATGAGTCAGTTGCCAAGGGTCTGGATTTTGATCATGTGACCAGGGGGATACTGCAACGGTCGTAAGTGTGAAAAATGGTCACAAGTCACTTTTTTAAAATTGCCGTTGTAACTTCGAACAATTATTAACTGTTTTAAGTTGAGGACTACCTGTAAAGCAAAATATGGCAGTCCGTTTGGTCTTGTGGTTAAGGCATCAGGCTAGAAAGCAAGAGATTGTGAGTTCTAGTCCCACCTTAGCCATGAGCTGTGGGTGACTTGGGCCAATCACCAGGAGACAGGGAGTTTCAGTCCGTCTTAGCCATGAGCTGGGTGACTTGGGCCAATCACAAAAAGACAGGGAGTTCTAGTCCCGCCTTAGCCATGAGCGGTGGGTGACTTGGGCCAATCACCAGGACACAGGGAGTTTTAGTCCCGTCTTAGCCATGAGCTGGGTGACTTGGGCCAATCACAGAGAGACAGGGAGTTCTAGTCCCGCCTTAGCCATGAGCAGTGGGTGACTTGGGCCAATCACCAGGAGACAGGGAGTTTTAGTCCCGCCTTAGCCATGAGCTGGTTGACTTGGGCCAATCACCAGGAGACAGGGAGTTCTAGTCCCATCTTAGCCATGAGATGGGTGACTTGGGCTAAAACAACAAGAACAATTTATACTTGCCCTACCTTCGTCTCTTAAGGTGAAGCGGCCCATTTGAGGGAAGTCTTTGAATGTCTCGAGGCAGATCGTTCCTGCCGTCCGTAAACGGGCAATGCATACTTGATCTTGTTTGACAAAACGGGGCCGTGTTTTGCTTTTCTCTCCTGATTTCTTGTCTACCAGACAGATTAAGGCCTGCGGGAGGAAAAGAAACCCAGAGGAAACACCGTGTGTGTTGCACACTCATTTCGCAAACAGAACTCTACGTCTTTAACCTCTAGTGGAAAACAAACGAACGAAGTGCGCGTAGTCAAGGCTATGGTTTTCCCAGCTGCAACGTATGGCTGCAAAAATTGGACCGTAAGGAAGGCTGAGCGCCAAAGAATGGAGGACTTTGTTAGCAACCAGTTCTAACAAATAGGTACGAACCGGTAGAATTCCACCCCTGTAGTTTGCACTTACTGTAATCTCGACTTCTTCAATGCAGGTATGAATATGCAGCACCGCATTGTAACCTGGGCAGATGATGGATTTGTGTTCAATGATCACTATCTGTAATCAAATCAAACCAAATGTTTATTATCAATAAATAATCAAGACGAGGCCAATTAAACCAACTTGATTTCAATAATATTGACTCCAAATTGGTGGCGCGCGCCCTGGCACGGTGGTTCAGTGGTTAAGATGCTGTGTTGGCTGGAAAGCGGGCAACCCAGGTTTGAGACCCAAGTGCCAAACGTTGGGATCAGCTCCCGTCCTCGCTCTGGCTCCTGCCAATCTAGCTGTTCTCAAAGCATGCAACTGCAAGTAGATAAATAGGTACCAGCCCTCCGTGACATCATGCTGATCACATGACTGTGGGAACGTCTTTGGACAGCGCTGGCTCAATGGCCTTGAAACGGAGATGAGCACCGTTCCCTAGAACCGTGAATGAGTATTCCGAATTAGAGAGCAGACCTTCTTCTGGAGGCATACCTGAGCATCAAATGTGCGTCCAGAATGACACAGGTTATTAAGATCACAGAGTATAAAGCCCGGGAGGATTTCCTCCTCTTCGATTCCTTTCAGTCGGATCTTCAGATTTTCACCTGGAGCTACAGATTCGGTCTCTACATCGTCAGAAAGGATTCCAAGGACTTCCACATTGTGCTGAAAGAAAAAAAAAAAGAGATCGGGGTGGTCGAAGGCATGAAAAGTCGCGGACGCTTGACAATATTTTGGAGTCGTGCAAAAAGGCTGTGATGTTACATGTCACCTACATAATGGGTGATTTTTTTTTTCTGGATGCTAAGATTAATATATGAAATAACGGCCCTTTTTTTTTTTAGGTCATCTTGCTTTTTGGGTTTACAATAGCAACATGGACTGTCAAATAAATGTTTCTGCATGTCAAGTCTGTTCTGTCTTATTTCAACTCGGTACGTCCAAGAATGGCAATAGAGGACAATGTTTGTAGCTCAGGGTTGAACTGCACGGTCCTTGGTCCTCTCTGAGCTTGCTTTCTTGCAGATGTTTCATTACCCAACTAGGTAACATCATCAGTGCTAAGTAGTACTGATGTTATCTAGCACTGATGATGACCATTACCTAGCACTTACAGTGTTACCTAGTCTACTTTAATTTCTGGAGTTGGGTGGCGTATAAATTTAAGTAAATATCCTCATCATCCTGCTCCTTTACTTGCTGTCACTTTATTACTCCAGAAGTAACATCTGGAGATCCTTTCTCCTGTCTAAGGAACTACAACTACTGAATATATATATTTTTAACCTGGATTTTTGCTCGTTCTTTTCTTAAGGAACTCACAACCCATGCCTTTTTTTCTTTTTCTTTTAGCAAGCAAACTTAACAATAGAGGAAAACATTTCTTTTTAAGATACGCATGTGAAACATATTCCAGTATTTTGAATTTAGAAGAAAAACCCTTGGGGTGGGGGAACAGAAATGTCCCTCTTTTTGTGACGAGCTTGCTGGAGCCTCTGATATTTGGGTTGCCTCAGCGAAATCAGGAAGGGCTTGCTTTGGTCTTTCATCTTCTGAAAACTAGGACCCCCAACATAGCCCTAAGCCAGACAAACAACCCTCAGACCGGTTATTTATAACTTCTGAAACCGCATCCCAATCCACTAAAATTTGAGAACTGGTGGGAAGCCAAAACGAAGTTGTGAAATGAAGTTGCTTGCTTGAAGGCAAACCTGCTGAGAAATGTTTGTCTTGAAGGCAGAAAGAATGGCTGGCAGGAGCAACGAGCTATTTGATACCCATCACAGGCCTTAAGACCCAAGTCCGTTTTATTATTTTCCTTGCTGGCTTTCTATATTCTTATACTAGTATTGAGGATTCTCAGTGGATATGGGGGAATATGGGGCTTCTGAACCTTTCTTTAGGATTTTTTTCTCCACGCTGGACTGAATTTTTTTTTTTAAAAAAGATCTAATTTTCTATCAAAGTATGATTGAGAAAATATGAATGTTCCCAATATGAATGCAGATAGCCCACCATTGAGCCCACCGTTTCTGTTCTTTAGTGAAACATTTGTTAAGTGAGCTCCATTTTACGACCTTTCTTGGCACAGTTGCTAAGTGATTCATTGCAGTTATTAAGTGAGTGACACGGTTAATTAAGTGAATTTTTGCCTTGGCTTGTCAGAAGGTCGTAAAAGGGGATGACCTGACCCCAGGACACTTCAACCATCGTAAATAGGAGTCAGTTGTCAAGCGTCTGAATTTTGATCACGTGAGCATGAGGGGTGTGTGTGTGTGTGTGTGTGTGTGTGTGTGCTGCAAGGTTACAAATGCGAAAAACGGTCACAAGTCTCTCTTTTTCAGTGCCGTTGTAACTTCGGTCACTAAACAAACTGTTGTAAGTCGGGGACTATCTATATATGAGAAGATTCTCCTTAAAAGAGTGAAAAGCTAGCCTTTGGCCCACATTCTTTTTGCGTTCAATACTCAGCCCAAAGGTTAGGCGGGGTTCCTAAGCTCTGAAAAGTTTGCCCATCTCTAGCGAACAGTAGACTGAAGAACAGATCGGCTTTGCTTTCCTGCCAACTATTTGGAGAGGTATGACATTTATGCAACTGTGTGTGAAATCTGAACCCCCTTTCAGGAAAATTTCCGGGAAGGATAAACGCCAGGGGAACATCTGCTCGAGGTTTTGATGAGCCAAACTCTGTCCTTGGTGAGCAGGCATTTTTAAGAGTGCAAAAAGCAGTTGGGTAAGGAAGTTAACCCTCACATATTTGTCAGTTAAAATTCAGCAAAGGGCAAGCAGCGTGAGTCCTAATCTACATCAGAAATTCCCCCCCCCACACCTTTTTCAAACAATCTTTTTGAAATATTCAAAGTAATCTGCTTGTATTTTTTAAGATCCCGTTTCTTATTTTGTTTTAATCGTTTCTGAGCTTCAAAAAGACTTGCCAAGTTTGTTCTGTATCCCACCTCTTTACATAATTTCTATTCAAATGTTAAATTTCTAATAATAATCCCTATTCAAATGTTCCTTTTGTGGTACGTCTTCTGCACAGGTCTATGCATTTGGGAGTTGCTAATACTGTATCCCGACATTTATAGTTTTTTTATGTGAAAACTGCATCATGAAACGTTGAAAAGGCTTCACGTACAAATAGATAAGCTGCATTCTTAGCAACTTCCATTATTTTCTGCCTCATTCAAGCTTCCATTTATAGAATATATATACACAGACATGGGAGTGGTTTGGCCAAGGACTGGTTTTCATCTCTACCTCCAGCTTGAGTGCAGTAGATTCAAGGATACTGCAGAATACAGGAAAAGCTAAACTCTTAAATGTCAACCACAGGGAGAAGACAACAATCCAAATGAGTGACAACCTCATTGTTAAACAATTCCTGTGGGAAATGGGAGGCCCCAGAATGCAATACTGTAATGGGAGTTTCTATTTACTTTTTCTTATACCAACATGGCAGTCACATTCTTTTAAAGGAAAGAGGAAGAAAACAAACTTCGCGTATCAGATTTCGAGCTAATAATGCAATCTGGTTTTCAGCTCGCTTGATATCCTCCATCTTGCCAGGGGTGTCCAACTGGCTGAGGAATTCTGGGAGTTGAAGTCCCCAAGTCTTAAAAGTTGCCGAGGTTGGACACCCCTTGTTCAATTTTGGGAGTTGATGTCCCCAAGTCTTAAAAGTTGCCAAGGTTGGACGCTTCAAATTTAAACATCTGCTAGATGAACGGAAAGAGGCTTAAAGAGAAAACATGTATACCTTGTTTGGCATCATCACGAGCTGCTGTCCTTTGCAAATAGACCCTGATTCCAGCTTTCCCAACACCACCGTGCCCATATCCTTCATGTGGGGAAGGGAAAGAATGAGAAAACAACAACCAGGTTAAGAGAACATGGTCAAAACAGGGCCTGATTCCCTTATCAAGAGTTAACATGACTGTGCTATAGGACTGCCCCCCTAAAAAAACAGTTTTATACTTTCCAGGTTAAATTGTATAACTGCTGCTACTATTTTCGTGTCAAAAGCCTACCTCATATTTATCAATATAAATATACCTCATAATTATTTAGTTGCATACCTTATATTTATCGACAATTGGCAGCCTAATTGGTCCATCAACTGATCGGTTGAAGTTTGGCAAATTATCCAGATATGGAATAAATGGTAGCCCACTGGGGGAAAGGGGAAAAAAAGAAAGGAATACATGATCAAAAACATTTTTGATTTTTGGACAAAATTTCCATTCATGGTGCAACTAACATCTAAACACAAGTTTCTTTGTGAGACATAATCAAGTTAAGGTATAGGACGGAGCTGCGGGAGTAAATTATGCCTTTTTTACCAGCAACTGCAAAGAACATGAAGAACTCAATGAACAGACTGTTTTATCTTCAAATATCAAATATAATACCTCAATTTTCTTTTGAACAAACTTGAAGAAACTTGCCATTGCTTCATGCCCTAGTTGTCTGTTTGTGTTAGATACGCTCTTGTGTTCTTGCACCCTGGTGAGAGCGTCTGTCCTCAACTTGACAGCCTCTGGTGTCTTTTGGCCACAATCCTCAGCCAAAACAATCATTATGTAGGGAGTCACTTTAAAAATGTGTGGACTTCAACTCCCAGAATTCCCCTGGCTGAGGAATTCTGGGAGTTGAAGTCCACATACCTTAAAGTTACCAAAGTTGAAAAACATTTCTTTAGGGCATCAGGGATGTTTCTACATACTAGTCTGATTTAGGCTGAATTTGATTAACGGACTAAAACCTACACGGTTGCCTTATTTGTGTTAGATATGCTCTGAATTGGAGGCAGCAGAATGCCAGGAAGACCAAAGCAGAAAGTGACCCGGTTTCCTTTCCAAATGCAAACTGTTAGCCTTAAAAAAACATCCGCTTTTGGCTTTGGGGATGAAAGGTACCATTAATAGACTTGTTTCTTTGCCATCCTATAAAGGCAAATCCTAGAGGGCTCCAGTTTAGCCAGCTGTTAGTGATACCATTGTTAGCAATGCAACCTGAGAGAAAAAAACAAATTATTTTCAGATCCCTGAACCTAGAACGAGTATTTGACTGTTTCTGTTTACATGAGTTTTGTTTCAAGACTTTTTGCTTTGGGTATTGTGCTCAGTGGTGGCCTAGAGGAGATGTTCCCCTCACAATCAGGAGGTTGTGAGTTTGATCCTAGGCAGCGGCAGATGTTTCTCTATCTGGGTGCAAAGGGTAAATATCTGCTGCAAACTTGGCATAGGAATCAGAAAAAGTGCATCTGACCAGTAAATGCTCAGCTCCATTCAGTCGTCCCGACTCCACTCCAAAAGGAGTGACACAAGGAATTAAGGGTCGTAGAAAGAAAGAAAAAATCGTCGCAAAGCAGGGACCCTATTCCATGAGATACCTACATATACCAAGGACAGAAGTCAGATGGCTCCTTGAGATTTGCTCCAGTCAGTCCCGAGCAGGGCATGAAGTGAATGTCCTTTTTGGGGTTAAACCCCACTTTCTTCAAGAATGGCACCAGTTTTTCTTTACATTCTTCATACCTGGAAGATTGGCCGCAGGGGAGAAAAAAAATATTAAACGGGGAGAAGAGCCATGAAGCCCCATCGTCACAAGATATTGCGTAGGAATGAGAGCGTTCGGGGGTTCAATGGGGCCAGTCTCACAGCTACGTCATCCGTATCAGTGGCTCCCAACACGGATCTCCTTGAAAAGCTTTTCTGGCCACGGACCCCTAAGACTTAACTCAAGGTTTAAATGGGAACATTTCTTCAAGCCCTCCTCGCCAGATCCCGTGACATCGTGCCCCACCCTCCACAAGCTGAGAAAGGTTGTGGCCCTGTGAACCACAAGCAGAGAACCACTGATTTACTTCATCATTATCCTTCACGTTGCATCTCAAAATACCGTGTTTTTCGGAGTATAAGACGCTCCGAAGTATAAGACGTGCCTAGCTTTTGGGGAGGAAAACAAGGAGGAAAAAAAAATATATCCCTCTGCCTCCCAGAAATTTGCTTCCTTGCAGCAAATAACCTGTTTCAGTATCAGTTTCAGTACAGCCTGATTAGCACAAGCAGCTGATCGTCAGCTGGGCGGCCTCCTGAGGATCAGCCGATTCAGGCTGCAGGGACTGCCGTAGAGCAGTGATGGTGAACCTTTTTGTTGTGGTGTGCCAAAAGCAGGCGCGGGCCAGCACCAATGCAATGCGTGCACGTGCAACACCCCCGCCCCCCCTTACCTGCACTGTGCATGTGCACGCCTCCCAGCTGATTTTCGGCCTGTTTGAGGCTGTTTTTGCCCTCCCGGGTGCTTGAGGGAAGCCTCTGCAGCCTCGGGAGGCTGAAAACGGGCCCGTTTTGGCATTTCCGGTAGGTCGGTTTCTCGGCTCCCAGGAGGGTGAAAACGGCCTCAAACGGGCTGAAAATCACCTGGGAGGCGTGCACATGTGCAGTGCAGGTAAGTTTGGCTGAGGCTCGCAGGCCTGCACAATTGGCTATATGTGGCATAGGGGCACACGTGCCATAGGTTCGCCATCATGGCCATAGACTATTGCCGCCTCTGCGCACCCCATTTTTCACCCGTGCCAAGTGGTGGGGGGATTGAAATGGGCAGAAAATGGGGTGCGTGGAGGCCAAAGATGGGATGTGGAGGCGGCAATAGGCTTTGGCAATCCCTGCAGCCTGAAAACAGCTGAGGCCCATCCAACCGACAATCAGCTGCTTGTGCTAATCAGGCTGTGTTGAAAGTGTTCGCTGCAAGGAGGCAAATTGCTGGAGGGCAGAGGCCAAAGGGTGGGGGGCAGCGGGTGGGCAGGGCTTCAGCACCATTCGCTGTATAAGAGGCACAGACATTTCCACCCACTTGTGTGTGTGTGTGTGTGTGTGTGTGTGTGTGTGTGTGTGTGTAAAAAGTGTGTCTTATACTCCAAAAAATACGATATATTTGAGATACAGAGGTACAACTACAATCAGGACAAGAATTTCTGTGGCTGCAAATGGCGATCACCTCACCTCAAGAGGGTGCAACCATTGTGAATGCACACCACTTGCCAAGCGCCTGAATTGTGATCGACTTGAGTCAGGGATGCGGCGATGGTTGCAAGAGTGAGGACGGATTGTAAACCCCCTTTATTCAATGCTGTTGTAACTTTGAATGGTTGCTAACCAAATGGTTACACGTCGAGGTCTATCTGCACACCAGGGTTGAACTCAGAAGTTAAGTCAAATTCTACCCCCTCCAACTAGTTGAAAAGGTTTTTTGAAACTAACATAGATTTCTACGAATAGTTGCCTACATTAGGGTAATTATACCTGATCTTTGGACCTTATCCATCAAAGCTGTATGAGCCCAGCTCCATTTTCTACAAGTGCCAGCCAAAATGCCAGCTACTCTTTAACATCCAACTTGGGCACAAAACTAAACCCAAATACTTGCCTTTCGTTGCTCCAGTTCACAGTTGGGTCGTCCATTTTGTTAATGAGAACTATTAAGTGTTTTACACCCGCTGTTTTTGCTAGCATGGCATGCTCTCTTGTTTGCCCTCCTTTCTCGAAACCTGTTTCAAATTCCCCTTTCCTTGCAGAGATTACCTGAGTGAAAGAACAGCCCAGTTAAATCTTTGTAGTGTTTGGTTGCAATCCAATTCCATTCAAACATAAGGTCTTTTATAGCATACTGTGGCACAACCATTAAACAGTCGTTTTTATTATTTTATTGGAATTAACAGCAAAAATAATCAACACAATGACAATAGACTAAAAAAAACCCCCAACAATCTGAAAAAAAAATGAAGGGAAAAAAAACACGACATCACCAGTCCCAAGGAAAAAATATTAATACATGGGCAAACAGAACTTTTCACCTGTTAGCAGCTTGAGACCATACTGAAAAATACTGCTTCATTTTCTTATTTCTACAGTGTAGGAACGTTTCAAAGATTGGTTTTTATTGTATGTTTTTAATCTGCCTTACTGTTAATTTTTCAGAGAGAGCTTACCAGCTAGTAGGCGATTTTAAAATAAAGAACACAACTACACAAAGAAACGCAGATGAATTAAAATAATTTTCCAATCGATCTGAACACAAGAAAGGCTCTTACCAATACCGCTAAATCCGCTTGAGAAGCACCGCCTATCATATTTGGAACAAAGCTCTTATGCCCCGGAGCATCTAAAATTGTGAAGTGTTTCTTTTCCGTTTCGAAATAGGCACGGCCTACTTCCACTGTTTTCCCTTTGTCCCGCTCTTCCTGGTTTGTGTCTAAGGCCCAAGAGAGATACCTATTAAAAAAAGAAATAAGGAAGATATCTGATATAAAACTGATTGTTCTTGGGTAAGATTATGATAGATGCTACTCTAGAATTTATCTGAATATTCTCATCCTTTCCAACAACTAAGTTAAATGCTTCTACACCAGGGGCGTCCAACCTTGGCAACTTTTTAAAGACCTGGGGACTTCAATTCCCAGAATTCGCCAGCCAGCCAAGTTGGCTAGGGAAGTCTGGGAGTTGAAGTCCACAAGTCTTGAAGTCGCCAAGGCTGAACACTCTTGTTCTATGCAGTTGTTTTTGTTTTGAGTCAGGAAATGGGATGCGGGGGGGAGGTATCTGCAGGCAGGAGGGGTAAAACAAGTCAAGATGGTGGCCACAACCATGCGATTGAAGCCACACACGCTTTGTACATCTGTTGTGAATCACTGAATTACATTTCTGACTTTCAGCATTGTCTGCCCAAGGAATGGATGTAATGCCAATTGAAAATTATAATCCAAAACATACCTCCTGCCTGCTCGAGGAATCCTCTGTGTTGGCATAATGTCATTACAGACAATTTCAATTTAAGTTCTTGCTCAGTTCATTATAAGTTTGATTTATAATCCTCTGGGTTCATCCACCAGGAAGAGCCCCCAGAGGAAAATTAGCTCTTCTGCCAAGTTCTTAGCAGCTAAGAAAATCTCTTGGCCACCGGGAGGAAACAGTGAGTTGGCAAACACCCAATGAAGAGTAGACAGAGTCTTATAAGTCACTAGAATCTAAGTTGTCCTGACAGAATATGCCACATGGAGTAGATTTTCCCTAGGAAAGGATTAGCAGCACCTTGGATCTGGTTATCCCTTGGAAGAGCGCATGAGGAGACTTCAGACTTGTAAGCTAGACTGAGAAATTGATAACCACCACCTAGAAGGATGTAGTGGCAACACACCAATTGCAAATATACGTCTATTCTCGACCATAAGAAGCGTGGACTTCAACTCCCAGAATTCTCTAGAGAGTATGCTGAGCACCCATGCAGCCCATTCACTTCTGCTCCTTCGTTTCCAGCTAGCTCCATAACTAAGCAACCTAGAGGTTGCATTTATCTTGTTGCATCCATTTTCCAGGAGTGCTTTTATTTTGATGTACAGTTTCTCTTCTCTTCCCAAGTGAGTAAGCTAGGTTCCTGTTCAAAGACTCAGGGATTCTGAAAGCTAGGTCAAAACACATCTGGAGGACGTGAGGTTAAGAGAGGCTATCATCACTGAAAGTGGGTTAAAATGTTAAAACGTAGGCTTCGTACCAGGTTTCTCTGTTTTTTTCTTTAGCTTCTCTTTCGTATTTTTCAAGCGTCCTTTTATCAACCATGCCTGTCAAATACCTGAAAAGAATTTGGTGCGTGAGATAGGAAGAAGAAACACGTGTAAAAAGCAGTTTCAACAGAGTTGCGGCTTTGTTTTGTTCTTTAAAAAGTACAGGTGTCAGGATTCTGGCAGTTACGCCAATTAAATCATGACTCTCGAGCCAAACTTCCAAAACTTCAAAAGGATTAATTGGGAGTTAACATGTCCGGCACTGCCTGGGTGCAGCTGACTCTGAGACACATCATTCATTGTCACTCTTGACCCTGGTTTTCCCTCACCCCCTGGGTGTATCATAATTCATATGCTCCAGTGGGACACATCCATAGCCAAGAATCATCAATCATGCTCTCCAGTTAGATCTTTGCACGGCAGAAACTTCAGTCACCTAGTTACTATCTTTGAAAACTATTTATGGAATGCACTTTTGATTTCCAAAGTGCCACACTGCCTTTTCAAACCGTTTCCCCCCTCCCTTTCTGTTGGCAACTCTAAAAAGACCACAGAAATATTTTTTGAGTTGACATTAGGTTTCCTTGACTTTTCACCCCAAAAAAGTTTCCCTCAGAACAAATTGGGAAGATCAAGATGTGGCACATTACAAAAGTGGAGAAAACGGCAGTAATGCCTATCAATTTTTTTTAACAAAGTCTCACAAAAAATGGAAACTTATTTTGCAACAAAAGTGCTTCAGGTTATCAGCTGCAGGATTCTTTTATTGTAATTATACCTTTGGATTCAGACTAAAAGGTCAATTTAAGGAAGCTTAAGATGCCTGAATTGAGTATGTATTTGAGGGGAAAAAAAGACTTACATTATTTGCCCTCCAATTGTTGATTTTCCAGCATCTAAAGAAAAAAGATAGACAAAAGATATTTAAAATTAGCTCTTCGTGAGCAGCTATTTAATTCTTTTTTTTGTAAAGAACTTGATTTTCCCATCAGCATATGCTTTTGTCCTATATAATCACAGAGGGCTAATGATTTAGGACGCATTTTTCTCTCTCTCTGAAGAAGTGTCTTGTTCACATTATATATTTGGGAAATTTCGGATAAGTCGCATCGATTGTACTACAATTGGTATGTGAACCATTTTCTATCAGTGTGGTCTACACATTTATGTCAAGTCTAGCAGTTAAAAATGAATTGATGGCATATAATCAAACAAACCAGGTTTTTTTTCCCCCAGGGACTTTTTCTTTAAAATTTAAACTATGAAAAAGCAAACATACAGGCCTGCCACCTCTGGCTCAACAGATGTTCCTGGCCTAAAACTCCCTGCACCCTCAGCCAGCAAGGAGGATGCTGGGGAATTGCATTTCAACATCTGAAATAGCACAGTTGGTCCACTTTTTTTTTTTTACTGTGTTCCTTTAATACACCCAGAGATGCAAAGGATCAGGACCATACATTTAAGTTGCAGTTCAAAGATTTATTGCTTAAGCCTATACACAAGGATCTAGACAACTAAAGCTCAGTGCTGTAAATTGGTGCCACAGAAGGCTCAACAATTTAAAAGGAGTTGGACTTGGGCTGTTTGTGGCAATGCAACTACTCTAAACTGATGACATGCTTAACTCCGCCCGCCGTTCTGCCTTGCTTTTCTCCTATAGTTGATTAGGGAACCAACTCCACGGAAGACCAGAAGGTAGCAATGTCTGAATATTGGCTCCAAAGTCATTTCTGCGGCTTCCTAGAGCAACTTACCTACGTGTCCAATGAACACCACATTCACATGTTCCTTCTTGGGAGCACCAGGGGGAGCCACCATTGATTTGGGTTTTGGCATCTCCTCCTCTTCTTCCATCATTTCCTGGGTGCCCTCTTCAATGGGCCCCGCGTCACCGGAAGGGCCACTGGCTAATTCGGATTCAAGGATTTCTTCTTTGTGATCCCACGATTCCTCAGGGGACATTTCTGTCTCTCCATTTTCTACTAGGATGGAATAGACAGTTACTTGAAGGAGGGAAGGGCTTTTCAGGGCCTTTCGTGGAAAGGGGTGGGGAGGAGGGGAGGGGAGAAGGCTTAGAGAGACTACAGGGGGGTTGCCTCTGTTTTAAGTTCCCGTTTTATTTTCCTCTACCCGCTTGGCTGCGTTTTAGGATGCACATTTAAAATTTCATTTTTACGGAGGCCACTTGGAGGTTGATTGTAAGTAAATAATGCAAAGCAAGCTAGTATTCATAAGATTTGGCTATTTTAACACAGAAGACCTTTTTTCAACTACAGTGGTAGGAATGCTGAAAACAACCTCCAGACCATAAAGTTTTAATAGAGTAAACAGTATTCTGGAATTCACCAATGGAACTGTTTATGAGAGCTACTGACTGCTAGTCATCTTTTCATTCTGCTTCTCTGCTTAAAACCTAAAGTACGTGTTGCATCAATTTGGGGATTAAAAGCAAGCTACCTGTCACAATCTTTCTTAATGGGATAGTTGACAGCCTCCATAATGCTTAGCTACTAGGACACCAGGCTGGAAAAGGCTGACAAGGGGAGAGTTATTTCATTTTACTTATTTTATATTGCCACCTATTCGTCCATGGCGACTTGAGACAGCTTACAGAATGTAAAACCATATTTTTGCTTTCTTCTCGTGGCTCTTGAAATTACCAATCAGCTTCTCTGTCTCTGGCATGGACGTGCCCATAAACACTCACCAGCCCCCCCTGCCCCCCCTCAAAAGCACAGCTTCTCTGGAACGGGAAAATCTTTGCAGTGAATCTTTGCAGATCTACTGCAAAACACCTGGGACCCACCACTAACCCGGGAGCAACACACCATTCTAGAAGGGCTGCAAATGTGCAGGCAGTCCTCGACTTATGACCTTGACCCTCCCACATTTCTGTTGCTAAGTGAGATGTTTGCTAATTGCCCCATTTTACGACCTTTCTTGCCACAATCGTTAAGCAAAACACTGCAGTTGTTAAGTTAGTAACGTGGCTGTTCAGTGAATCCGGCCTCCCCATGGACGCTGCCTGCCAGAAGGTCGTAAAAACAGAATCCATGACCCCTGGGACACTGCAACCGCCTTAAAATTGAGTCAGTTGCCAAGTGTCCGAAAGGATGAAAAACGGCCATAAGTCACTTTTTTCCCCAGGACCGTTGTAACTTCCGAATGGTCACGAAAGGAATGGTTGTAATTCGAGGACTATGTGCAATCATCTCTTGAGTGCCCAAGCTTTCCAAATCGGCGTAGTGGTTCCACAAACCGGAGAGGATCGTAATAAAAAAAGGCCAATTAAGAAGAACTTCAAGGCTGCAAGGCAAAGGGGTTGGTTCAAGCTACGCTGTACGGCTTCTTACCGACGGGTTCGGAGATTTCCATACCAACGGCAACGTTTGACCCTAGAAGAGTAGAAAGAAGCAGGTTAAAGAGGCTGCATCAGCTCGGTCTGCCCCACTTCACCTTTTTGAACACTGGACTATTTGTCCATTGCACGGTCAGCCAGATGCTCAGACTGGATTTGGCATTTCTGTCCACCTCTCGAGTCCTTTCCAAGGGCCTGGGATGGACAAACGTGAAGGGCGGCGGCGGCGGCTGCTGCAGTTACACTCGCAGGTTGTAAGCAGTATGAAGCAGAGCTGCCTGTCTGCCCTTGACTTAATTGTCAATGCCAAGGGTGTTCGAGTGGTGCTCCAGTCGTTTTTGGGATTGCACCCAAGGCTCCTGTTACTATTGGTGCTATTATTGTTATTTATTAAATTTATATGGTGGTCATCTCACTGTAAGCCACTCTGGGTGGCTTACAACGTGATACAAGCCAAAATATAAAACATTTAACATTAACAAAAATGAGCTAAGATAGGAACCAGTACACAATGAGGTGGGGATGGATCTTCTTTTTAATCCACGAGCCACCTCCAGCATGGAATCCCTCCACTGGTGCCCCAAGGCAGGTAGCAGAAGCCAGGTTTTTGTGGCCCTTTTATAAGGCCAAGAGGGCAGGGACAGGTCTCACCTAGATGGCCACGGTATTCTAAATAGCTTCTAATTGTATAAAGGCTCCACAAATTTGTTTCCCAATATACCTTATTTCTCAATATACCCTATTTCCCAATATACCCCAGTAGCTCAGCTTTACATTTCACGTACACACACACACACACACACACACACACAGAGGAAATGTATTACCTTCACAAGATGGCAGGTCTTCTTGTGATGATTCTGCCGATGCCCCTTCAAGAAAGAAAAACCAACACCAAAATAAGTATTTGATGTAATCCCAGGGAAAATTGAAGAACGAAACTATCCCCTGTTCAGAAGGAAAAGCTAAGTGGCTGTGCTCTTCTCCTCTTCTTTGAATATTCAGGACTCTGAACTCAGAAGCCAATTCAATCCTTACCAAGCATTTATTTTATTTTATTTTAAAAAAAACATGTTATGCCACCCATCTCACCTCTAAGGCTGGCTTACAAGTTATAAAACAGGTAAGAAAATACCCAAACATTAGAACTACACAGATTAAGCTTCTTAAAACTATACTTAAACCAGGACGAAGAGAGGGATGGGGATGAGGTCTTCTTACCCTGCCATCATTAACATAAAACCAGGCAACCTTACGGCATAGCAGGAGGAGTAAACCAGACCATGACATGAGACCTGCTTCTCTAGATGTTGCTGAATTATACCTTCCAGTATTCCTCATAGTTGGCTAGGCTGGTTAGGGCTGCAGGAGTGTTGTCGCTAAGTAGCACCTAAAAGGCCATCAGTCCCCCAGCTTGGTCCAAAGCATGAAATCAAGACACATCCCATCTCTTCCTTGTGCGTGTCTTTGAGCAAGGAAAAAAAACATCCATCTTCACTACTGCTCATCTCTGGGTGGGCTGAGTCGGCCTATGGAGATGAGGTGGATCGGTTGCTAACGTGGTGTGGAGACAATAACGTGGTCCTCAACACCAATAAGACCAAGGAGCTTGTAGTGGACTATAGAAGGAACAAATCAGACATCCAGCTCCTGCTTATCCATGGAGACCGAGGGGAGCAAGTGGCCAGTTTTAAGTTTCTGGGTGTTACCCTAAAAGAGGATCTGACCTGTGGTGCTCACATGGCAGCCCTGGTCAAAAGGGGCCAGCAGAGATTATACTACCTGAGGTTGCTCAGTAAACAACAACTGAATGGAAAACTACTGGTGACCTTCTACCACTGCACCATAGAGAGTATCTTAACTTACTGCACCTCTCTATGGTTTGCCAATTGCACAGGGGCAGATAGGACAGCGGTCCAGAGGGTTAAGGTCATTGCCCAGAGGATCATGGGTTGCCCTCCCCCTTCTTTGGAAGAGCTTTGTAGCTCCCGCTGCCTTAAGAAAGTTCAAAACATTCTTAAAGATCCATCTCATTCTTGGCACCCTTTTTTTTTTTTAAACTACTACCATCTGGCAGACGGTACAGGATAATGCAAATAAGCACAAATAGCCTGAAAAACAGCTTTTATCCCAGGGCAGTAGCTCTGTTGAAGTCTACTGTATAATGCAATATGAATGTGATATCAGGAGTTTTCAATTCAATGTGTGGAGTGTGAAGGATGTGTGTTTGTGTTATTTTCATGGTCATGATGTGCATTGAAGATGGTGTTTGATTTCGTTGTATGAGGTGCAATGACAATAAAGTTAATTAACTAATGGAGGTATAATTAATCATGGTCTGCCGTTTTCTCTGTGGCCAATTTGTCTGCAAGTGTGACATGCGTGCAAAAACCCACTCAACTGACCTATGAATGATCTTCTGTGAAATCATCACAGATCAGAAATAGAATAACAGGGTTGGAAGGGACCTTTGGAGGTCTTCTAGTCCAACCCTCTGCTCGTGGCAGAAGATGCTATGCCAGCAGTCCCCAACCTTTTTAGCGCTAGGGACCAGTTTCGCTGGAATCAGCTCTTTGACAACTATTAAGACGGGAGAATTGTGACTTCATATTCTTTTGGAAGAGCAGAATAAAAGTGACATCAACTCCGATGAAAGGCAAGACGCGTGTGACATATTAGAAGCGGCCATGCTGTAAATAATTCTGCATAGTTCTGTTTGTGAATATTGCACAACCTGACGGCAATAAATACTTAAATCTTTCCATTCTCTTTGCAGAGGAAAATTTTTGTGTACAAACATTGGACAATGCCCTGCCAAACTTGTAAAAAAGCATTTACTTGCTCCATATAAGGTCAGCAAACAGACGAGGTACTGAAACTTTCTCTCCATTTTCAGACCATCCAAGGATAATATTCCTATTTGCTTTCAGAATTTAATTAATGGACACCTATGTTCTCTATAAATACCAGCAGTTATGCTGGGCTAAGACTCGGGGAGTTCCAGATTCAAAACACCAAGATGATGCTCCATGGGTCACACACCATGGCCCAGCCAAATCCATCTCACAAGCTTGTGAGGATAACACAAAGTGATCAAAGCACATTGCCCCCAGTGTTTATATCGATACAACAAACAGGTGGTAACAACAACAACGGATGAAAACCAACAACGGTTCTACCACAAAAGCCCTGGTTATTTGGCTGGTTGGTTGATCGGGTTTTTAAAAACGCAATTCTGATTTATTTTTTTAAGCAGGTTATTCCTTCTCAGCCCTAAGAAAAAGCCTTCTAAAAATGCTGCCAACAAAACTGCAAGAATTTATCTATGCAACTGCCAGGAATTAAAGACTGACTTGAAGGCAAAAGGAAAAACACAAATTCCAAACCTTTCGAACGGGTTATAGAGGTGGTTTTGTGGTGGTGGGGGAAAAGCATGTAATAAGTGCCTGGGCTGAAATAGTTTTCTAAAGTCAAGATTTCCAAACACACCAGTTTGGCCTAGTGGTTAAAGCACCACGCTAGAAAGCAGGAGAGTGTAAGTTTAAGTTTTGCCTTAGCCATGACAGCCGGCTGGATGACTCGTTATTAGGGAGAAAATAGGAGGAGGAAGGTACTATCGTAACTGGTTGAATGGTTGTAAGTCAACGCCTATCCGTAGCTGCCATCCTCAAAGACATTATATGACCCCTGGTAATTCTACTTATATAGGTGTAGGCAGTTTCCAATAAGAGTCCGCATGTGTGTAACTTTCTATTAGCAATTGGCTGGGTCTGCCTAAATTCTCTCCTAATTTTAGGAAGCATAACTTAATAGCTCTGCAAAAGTTACCTTATTCCCAAGCAATCTCTCCTTCCTGTGCCTTTTCCTTGGAAGGCAGAAGCCAGCTAGAGCAGATTGTTATCCTGATCTACGTTATCGATTATGACCGCCATTGTACAGAGACCAAAGCCAGTGGCACCAAAGAGACACACACAGAGAGAAACGTGAGCTAAGCAGAAAAACAGGAATCACCTTCCCTGTCATGATTGAATCAGGTCCAAAGTAAAGCTAAGCATTTAATGAAGTCCAATTAAGAGTCACTAGGAGAGACATGTTATTGTGGTGGGGGAATATAATTCAAGAGCCTGCTAGCGCTTTTTCCAAATTTTACTAAAAGGAACAACTTTTCCTGAGCTACGTTGTCTGGTCAAATGAGCTGCTGCTCACAAAAGCTTATGTTTTTAATAAAATTCATTAGTTGGAAGAACTGCTAGCAGACTCATTTTGTTTTTTTGCACTTTCTTTGGTGCAAAATCACATTTGCAATATTCAGATGACAATCTGCATACAAAACAGGTTACAATAGGTCAGCAACTTACTGACCCTGAGTAGACGAGAAATGCTTATTTAGCAGATCGGACTGCAGAAAATACGGACATTCCAACGGGATGAATTTCTGGCCGCCTGAGGCGCTTCTCCCACCAAGGATCATTAAAGGGGGGAAAAAAAATCCCATCCTCTCTTATTCTGCAACCTGTGGGACACGCAGTCCCAATATGTTTTAAGGGCTAAGCATGTGCTTCCACACCCTTATCGGAGGTACAGCCTGTGTTTCTGTACGCTGCTTGATAATGTGCCTTTCATGTGCCATCAGGAGCAATGTGGCCAGCAACTAAACCAGTATCTTATGTTCAATATGGAGTATAAGGGATGCCAGACCTGCTGCTATCCTGAGATTGCAGCAAACACACCTGCAAATTCTGCAGTGTAGACCAGATGGCATCTTAACTTGCCTTGGATAACTTGTAACAGAGTAACAGAGCTGTAAGGGACCTTGGAAGTCATCTAGTCCAACCCCCTGCTCAAGCAGGAGACCCTAGGCCATTTCAGGCAATTGGCTGTCCAGTCTCTTCTTAAAACACCCGCAACTCCTAAAGGTAAGTCATTCAACTGGTTGATTATTCTCACTGTCAGGAAATTTCTTCTTAATTCTAAATTGGATCTCTCCTTGGTTAAGTTTCCTTTTTTTTTCTTGTCTTGTCTTGCCTTTTGGTACTTTGGAAAATAGGTTGACCCCTTCGTCTTTGCATGAGCCCCTCAAAGCCCCTGGAACACTGCTATCATGTCACCCCAGGCCTTCTTTTCTTTAGACTAGACATACCCAATTCCTATAACTGTTCTTTTTAGCCTCCAGCCCCTAATCACTTTGGTTGCTCTTTTCTGCATTCTTTCCAGAGTCTCCGTTGCTTTTCTGGTCCCAGCCAGCAAAAACAGGATAAAAAGAAACGCACACAGGATTAGTATCTGCATCCTTAAATTTCATTCTAGGTTTTATTTTAGACTTGAGAATTGTGCCCATGGGAATGACTAAATCAAATGTGTGTGTTTACTATTTTCAAACTTGACAGAGGTGTGTGAAATGTTCGATGCGTGGAATTTCAAGAAAGGAGCGCAAAATGGGGAGAAGGGGATGTATTCTAGAAACATTTTTAGTCTGTAATGGGAGGCTTCAAATTAGAATACTTTTACTTCAAACTCAGAAAGTTTGCAAAATGCTAAAACAGTGGTTGCGTATTAAAGACAAGGCATTTCACACGTCTTTCAGGAACGGAACTGTTTTGCGTGCAGGATGGACACATGTGCTTTGGATGTTCCTCAAAAGACAACATTTGGAAGAATTCTGTCTCGTTGAGATCAAACAGGGTAATGCAAGCAAGCGGCTAAATAAACGGTCCCACTTGGAGAATTTCGCCCCGAAGCAACAGTAGAAGTAGGGCACCTCCAAGCACTTTTCTAAATATTTAATAAAGTTAATAAAAGCATGAAGCCCTGGATTCCAATTTTTTAAAGACCCGTATGGGTTTTTAAACAAGCCAGAAATCTCCCACTTGAATGAAATGTTATATTCAAAGTTTCCCTGCTCATTTAAGATGCTGGCAAGATGAAATAGAAATAGAAATGATTGGGCAGTCTCCAGAAGTATGCTTGCACAATCCTGATAAGCTTAGGAACCAGCCTACAGATAATCTGACATTAAAGGAAAAAAGAGCCAGCTAATCACGTCTTCCCTACTTGGAATCCATTCTTGTTGCAGGGTACAATGGATTTCTTTACCTATCTAACTTACTGAAGAGTTTGACCCACAAAACAAATGCTTATTTTAAATGTTATTAGCCGCCCAACTCCAATGGACTCTGGGTAGCATACAAATCTAATTTTTTAAAAAACAAACCCAATTAGAAATACTTCAATGGCCATATAGCCCAGAGAGAGAGAGAGAGAGAGAGAGAGAGAGAGAGAGAGACTGGCCCAAAGTCACCCAGCTGACTTTGTGCCTAAGGCAGGACTAGAACTCACAATCTCCTAGTTTTTAGGTAACAGCTTCACCACTTCTACTAGCTTTACAATCTTAAGCCCATCACAATTCCTTAGGAGTAGCTCTACTACTCTGTCTATTCACTCCACCACAAGGATTGAACGCCATAGAGTTAATTATTTGAAATTCTATCCGTAAACAAAGGCCTTAGGGCTGGCCCATTGTTTTTCTTCCCCCTCCTCTTTTTTAAAACACCTTTATGTTTTGTTGCCCTGAGCCTTGATAGCCTACAAGTAGCTTGAACCCGCCTGGATCCCTCAAAAGAGAGCCCCACCTCTGTCTTATCTCAAAGGCAGGGTTTTTTTACAACAGCCTTGTGGAAAAAGTCAAGAAAAAGGAATGACCAACCAACCGCCTACTGGAAAAGTAGCTTGAGAAGGAAGAGAGTCCTCTGAGTGGTTTCACAGCAACTGTTGAGACTACCAGGAAGTACTCACCTCCCCCTTTCTCTCCTGCCAAAAGAAAAGGTGACGTCTCACCACCATTCGAGATTGCATCACAGGCCAAGGGGGTGCTGGTTTTGAGTCACTCCTTGGCTCAGCCCGCCCCAGGACAGGCGGCTGAATGCTCTCCTACCACAAGCAGAGGAACCTGTCTTGCAGAATTCACCGGGAGGCTCTCCCGTCCCACTTGCTCAAGGCTGAACTCCTGGAAAACGCCCCCCTCGGAAAGTCCTTGGTGAGGAGGTGGGCTTGGAGCCCAGAGAAAGGGGCCTCTCCATCACTGATCGGACTTTCTTGCTGGGATGGCTAACTAGGAGGATCCCTCTGTTTTTCTTTTCTTTTCTTTTTTAATCCTCTCCGCCCTCCTCCTCTTCGGGCAAGGGTGGCAAAAACTACGTCAAGCTGTAGGTTTCCCCTCAGGGAGTTTCGGAGTGCAACCCCAACCATGCCGCCTTGGCAGAGGCCCAGAAAAACACGGATCAAGGGATCTTGCAAACAACCAGCTGTCTGGTACTCAGAAGGGAAAGGAGCAGAAGGCTCAGCCTCTCCCGGCCAGGACGTCTTCAGGCCAACCTGTTCTTCCTCCTGGGTACAGACCACGGGTGTCCAACCTTGGCAACTTCAAAACATGGGGACCTCCGCACCCAGAATTGAACCAGGGGTGTCCAACCCTGGCCACTTTAAAGACTGGGTGGGCTTCCACTCCCAGCATTGAACCAGGGTGTCCAACCCTGGGAACTTCAAGACGGATGGAGTCCCAGAATTGAATCAGGGCTATTCAACCGTGGCAACTTCAAGACTTGGGGACTTCAGCCCCCAGCATTGAACCAGGGGTGTCCAATATTGGCAACTTCAAGATTGGGGGGACTTCAACTCCCAGGATTCCTCAGCCAGTCGGAGATCACCGGTTTAGTTAAAGGAACCCTGGGAGTTGGAAGTCCCCCAGTTTTAAAGTTGCTGGGGTGGGACCCCGCTTGGTTTAGACCTTGACCGACCTCGCAGGGTTGTTGATGGACACCCCCAGGACACTATCCTTTCCCCGCTGAGCCCCATTTGGTGGGAGAAACTCACTGGCAACCTTTTCAAAGCCTTTAAGAGGCAACCCACCCTCTCCCTGGACTATTCCAATATATTGGGGAGGGGGGGAAGGGGGCAGCACCCCCTATGTATATTGATGCCCCTGGGGTGGGGGCAAGGCCAGGTTTGCATCCGGTGCTGGCTCCACGGAAGGGGAGGGGGGGTGTCTCTGACTCAGGGCGGCCTTCCTCATAAGGTTATTGTGGGGGGGGAGGGATTCAAAGAGAACCCCTTCAAAGAATGAAGTGGGTGGGCAATACGGGGGGGGGGTGTTTAATAGGGGGGGGGGGGCTGTTTAATAATCGGGGAGTCTTAGGCAACCTAACTGGGCAGGGGGTCTCTGAATCCCGTCGGGAGGGGAATTAAAAGACTGGAGGGACCCCCCCCCCCCAGAACTGGCTGGGCAATAATGGGGGGTGTTTAATAATGGTGGGGGGGGGGTCTTAGGCAGCGGTAATTGGGCAGGGGGATGAGGGGGCTTTAGAAAGGTGCCCCGGAGGGAAGGGAAGGGAAGGGTCCCCGTCCCGTGTCGGGCCGTTCCGCGGGCTCACCGTGTGTCAGCGACGGGGGCGGCGGCGGCGGCAGGCCCGGCGGCGGCGAAGGGGGCGGCGGCGGCGCAGGTTGTCCCGGCCCGCCCCTCAGGAAAGCCGGCACGAACTCGGCGGCGTGGACGTTGGGCACGAAGGGCTTGGCGTTGACGTTGAGGTGCCGGCTGAAGGCCGCGCCCAGGAGCTGCTCCTCCTCGGACTCCAGCTGGGCCGGCCCGGGCGCCGCCGCCGCCGCTTCCTCGTCCACCGGGGCGGCGGCGGCGCTTCCGCTGCTCGGCTCGAGGTCCGCCTGGTCCCAGCAATCGGGCGCCGAGTCGCTGCTGCTCCCGCTGCCGTTCGCCTCCATTTTGTGCGCCCGGCCGCCTGCCCGGCCCCTCACGAGCCTCTCTTTGCGGCCCAAGCGCCTCCCCGGCGGGGAAGGGAGGGAGGGAGGGAAGGCGCAGAGAAGCGGCGGCGGTGGGGAGGGACGGTGGCAAAGGACGGCGGCGGAGGCAGCGACCCCGGTCCTCGCTCCGGCCACGCTCCGCGTGTGCCCCACCGCCCCGACGCAGTATGGCCTCCCTCAGCTGCCGTACGCTTCGTCTCCCGTGCGCAGGCGCCGGCTGCCCGCCTGCACGCTCAGTAGTCCTGCGTCCCCGCGTAAACCCTTTGCGACAAGTGGGCGCCGCCGGGACGAGGACTACAACTCCCGAAAGGCCGCGCGCCGCAGTGGAGACTGGACGGCCGGTCCGCACGGGAAGCACAATTCGCTGCCTTTCCTTTTCTTTCCGTTCCCTCCCTTCCCTCCCTCGCGCTGGCGTGGATGCCTCCGTGTCCTTTGCAAAAAACAACAATCCCCAGCAGCCATCGCGCGGTCCCTTTGCCTCGCGCACGCGTTCTTCCTTTCTCCCTTCTTCCTACGAAACTATGTGGTCGGGCTCAGTTTTGGGGGAGGAAAATAAGGGGGAAACAATTCTGCCTCTGCCTACCATCCTCCATCGGTATTCATCTGGCTGGCGTCCTGTCAGTGTGAGAGAGAGTTGAGGGCTGTTTGGAAAGTGAAACAGTATTTGCCGTGTGAGCAAGGAGACAGCAAGGCGTTCAAAAAAGCGAGAGATTGAATGACACTTGTCATTAAGGAAGGAGAAGAATAAAATGTTTTGCAAGTTTATGAAGCGGTTACACTTATTTAATTTCTCACTTGCCTTTCTTTGAACAAGTCTTTTTTTTACATTTTATCCATACAGTAGCCCTGCAATGTAGGTTAGGCTGAATGATAGTGGCTGTGTTTGTTGGACTTGCAAATTCAATGTTCAATGAACTTTACTTAAAACACATCCAAAGGCAGTCCTTGTTTAGTGACCATAATGAGGACTAGCAACTCAGTTATTCAGCAAAGTGGTAGCTAAACAAAAGTACTGTGCTTGTGATCTGGCTTCAGCTTTCCTTTGCTTTACAGACCTGTGAAGGTCGTAAAAGTGAGATTTAGTTGCAAAGTTACTTTTTTATTACCACCGAATGGTCCTATATGAGGTAGTCATTAAATGAGGACATCCTTTATCAGTCATTATTAGAAGAAGAAAATATTTCAGCTATAATCCATTTTGAAGCTACTGCTACTTTTCCATCAAACGTATTCAGTTTTTTTCTACTGTCAATGGCATGTCACAAATCAGGAAACTTTTCACAGAACTGTCACTGGATGTCACTCTTGAGTCAATACAATTTTAAAATGAGATTTGTTCGTTGGGCGAGCGGATTAATTTGATCTAGGGACTTAGGATGTTAGTTAGGCAGTCAATAGCGCTTTAATAAATCGTCCTGTATCTGATCGTACTTAGAAGAAATGTGATTTAAGATTTAACCGTCTGATGATTTTAATTAGAGTGGATAAGCTTTGCATCATTGCATGTCACTTTGAATGTTCCCTTTCATCACCAACTGCCCATAAGGCAGATTAAGTATTTTGCAAGACATATTACAGAAGATAAATTCCTACATTATGAAAAGTGAATCATGTTTTTTTTTCTCCACTTGATTATTAATGATGTTGAATTAGAAATACATAACTATCACAAAGAAGAGTACAAACTTTATCTTTCATCCCCTCTGGAAATGCTTGAAAAAAGGTGCATAGACCTTTATTTAGGGATCCACTCTCCAGGTACTGTACTTCTATTTTCTTATACCTAAATAATCTAATGCACACCCAAAAAATTTCACCCCAACTAAAACTATATTTACAAGCATTTCAGCAGCTAAATGAAGAAAGGTGCTTTGCCAGCTTAATTTGCATTTATTTTATTTTTCTTTATTAATTAAACTTATACACTGCCCATCTCACCTAAACCTTCTTCTCCCTCACCATCTTTTTTCCCCGAACCTCCCCCGGCAAAGCGCTGATTGTCCCTGCATCCCTGTGGCTAGAAGCCCCACTCGCCTCAGGTTCTCCCACCCACCCCTTCCAAGCTGAGGATAATGGAGCCTGTGGTCCCAAAGAGGGCCCCTGCTGCTCCTCCCAAAGCAGAGCTCAACAGAAGAATAAAGTAGAAGGATAGAGAGAGAATAGACTAGACTAGAGAGAGAATGGACTAGACTCGAGAACAGAATAGAGTAGAATAGAATAGAATAAAGAATAGAGAGAGACTAGACTAGACTAGTCAGAATAGAATAGAATGATGGAATGAAGATATAGAATAGAATAAGAGATTGGATAACCATTTGTCTGAAATGGTATAGGGTTTCCTGCCTAAACAGGGGGTTGGACTAGAAGACCTCCAATGTCCCTTCCTTCTATTCTATTCCTTTCTATTCTATTCTATGCTTCTCTATTCTCTATTACTATTACTATTCCATTCCACTCTGCTCTATTTTCTATTGTTCCGTTCCGTCCCGTCCCATCCCATTCCATATTCTATTCTATTCTATTCTATTCTAAATTCCATTCCATTCCATTCCATATTCTATTCCATTCCATGTTCTATTCCATATTCCATTCCATTCCATATTCTGTTCCATTCCATGTTCCATTCCGTTCCATTGGAATGGGAATAGGAATAGGAAAAGGGAAAGGGAAAAAATAGAGAACTGAATGGAGACAGGGAACGGCATAGCCTGGCATGGCATAGGCCCTAGAGGTCTTCTAGTCCAGCCCTGTACCAGGGGTCTCCAACCTTGGCAACTTTAAGACTTGTGGACTTCAATTCTGGGAGCTGAAGTCCACAAGTCTTAAAAAGTTGCCAAGGGTGGAGACCCCTGCCCTATACTCTTCCAGACAAGGCCCTTTAAGGTCCCTTCCAGCTCTGTTGTTCTCTTATTCACCCTGGGCCTTCCCCCAGGTGGGGTGGGGGGGGCTCCTTTCTCTGGGTCCCCCGCCCCCCCATCCTCCGCGACCACGATAAACACCCCCACACCCACCCACCCTTTATGCAGGACCCTTCCGGGTTCCCCGTATTTTGCTTCCGGGGCGGGGGGGGTCACTTCCGGCGGCGGAGGCGGCTGCCGCCCTGCTCTCAGGAGTCCTGTGGGGGGGGAGGGGGGAGAGTTGCTCCGGCTTCGCGAGCACCATGAGCGGTGAGTGGGGCTGCCGGGGAGCGGGGATTTTGGGGGGGGGTCCCGCCTCTGGCTCGTGCCGAGGATGATGGGGAGGAGGGAGGAGGAGGCGCTCTGCATATGCCCAGGGGCACCCTTGCCCATGGTTAGCCTTCCATCCCTTCTGCGGTCGGGGCTTCCCCGCTGAGCTGTCAAAAGCACCGCTGACCCGTGGAATTCCCTCGAAAGCTTCCCGGCGCTTGGCGTATGCTCAGAGGCACCCTGACTCCCCACCCCCCACCCCACTCGCTTTTGCTTCTTGCTTCGCTCGCTCTTCCCGTAGGCAAGGGCGCTCTGCACTCTCTCAGAGGCTCTTTTCCTGCTTTGCGGGGTGACGGGCATTGCTGCTGCGGCGGGGATGGGGTCGCAGGAAGCGCTCTGTACCCGCTCAGGATTTTCTTTTTCAGGGGTTTGACGGGGCTCTTGGGCACTCTGTACCTGCTCAGAGGCCTTCTGGTTTGTTTTCCTTAACTAGTTGAGATTCTGGGCACTCTTGGCGTGCTCAGAGGCAGTTTTCTGCAGGGGTTGAGGAGGTTTCGGGCACTCTGTAGCCGCTCAGAGGGTGTCTGCCAATGCTATTAAGGAGTTGATGTGGCCCTGGGCACTCTGCGCCTGCTCAGAGGCATTCTTCTAGTTTGCCTGAGGAGTTGAGTTTCTGGGCACTCTGCACCCGCTCAGAGGCTTTGCCAGTTTTCTTAAGGGCTTGAGGAAACTCCGGCCCCTTTGTCCCAATTCAGAGTCTCTCTCTCTCTCTCTGCCATTATATACTGCGGTTTCTCTTCTAATCATACAAATCTTTTGCCTTTTACCATTTTTTTTTAAAGAGGATGATGTGGCTCTGGGCACTCTGTATCCACTCAGAGGCACTCTGCCACTTTTCTTAAGGGGTTAATGAAGTTTTAAGCACTCTGACTTTGCTGAGAGTTTGTCAATTTTCTTAAGGAGTCCATATAGTTCTGGCCACTCTTTACTTGCTCAGGGGCGACTTCCTATTTCTCTCAAAGGTGCTTTTCCAAAAGAATAACTAGACTTTCTTGGGTTTTTTTTTCTCCCCTTGAAGTCGTTTGGCTTCCCCTCCAAGAATCTTCTTCAGTTCTGTTTAATTCAGTTCTTCGGAACCGAAGAAACTTCTTGGAGGAGAAGCGAAACATCTTCAAGGAAAAAAAAACCCCAAGAAAGTCCAACTGCCTTTTGAAAAAGCAACTTTGGGACAACCATGACCTGGATGATTGACAATCTCCATAGATATCCTCCTATTTATCTTATTTCTTTTTACTTCTTCTGCACTTTCCCAGAAGTGTGCTTGTTTTGCTTCGATTGTGAAAGTGGAAACAAAATGTATAAGTTAAGCCTTTGGTTAAACTTCAGCTTGCTGTCTGAACTGGCCGTGAGTCAGTTTTTCAGAGTTAAATGACATGATGGTTGCAACTGCCTGGTGGATGTTGGTGGTGGATGTCGGGATGTGTAGTTACTTGACAATAGAATTGCTCAAGCGGGTTTTTTTTTAATGGAACCATAAAGCGTGCACTCAGGCAGAAAATCCAGATTCAATATTTTGCACACTCACAAATGCATTCACCACTTTTGATAGCTTCACTTTTCACTTCAAATATTTGTTTACCTCTTGGTGCGGGAATCTGGTAGAAAGGATCAACATTTTTTTAAAAAAAAATTTTTTAATTAATTTTCTATTGATTACATTTCTTAGTGCTTAATAAACACCGTGTTGTCAGGGTATTTAATTTGCTTAACAATACAAATTCCCTTCTTACTCTCCAACCCCTTTTCCCCAAACATTGGTAAAATAAGTTCCATGTTTGATAATATTCTGTGTCTTCTTTCTGCTTGATTTTCAATATAAGTCTACCCATTTGTGCACAATCTAATAATATCTTCTTAATTATCTCTTCATCTTGCAGTATTTCTTCATTTTTCCAATATTGTGCGAAAGTAATGTTTGCTGCTGTTAAGACATGTGTGCACTCAGACGGAAAATACAGATTCATTTATTTGCACACTCACAAATGCATTCAGCCACTTTTGATAGCCTCACTTTTCACTACAGTTACTTTATATATTTGTTTACCTCTCGAGGAAATCTGGTGGCAAGGATCAACAGCATTTTGTTTTGTGTGTGTGTGTGTTGTTGTATTTGAGTAACTTTGTTTCTCATGCTGATTTGATATTTTTACATTGTTTGCTTAATGTTGCTTAGTAAGCAAACTGCCTTGTATGAGTAAATGGATACTATAGTTTCAAATACCCTTTAACTCCTTTTGTAAATGGACTGCCAGAGATGAATTCCATCTGTTACTTTAGGAAAATATCTGGATTCCAGCATAATAATAAAAAAAAGCTCACATTTTTAAAGAAAGACTTTGATTTGCGGGCATGCTGTTATTACATTACAGTTTAAGTGACTTTTCTCCTAGGTTCCATTGAAAATATATCAGAATTTCACTGTGGTATCCATAGCACCAACTGAGAAGCAGTGGCTTAGAAGATGCTCTTAATTGAACACTTCATGTGTTTAATCCTCCTCCCTTCTGTTATATTGAAAATTACAATCTGTTGGCAAACAGCCTAAATTTCTTTTTTCCTTTTTTTCCCTTTTACCCCATATCAAGAAGAGAATATCATGGGAACCAAGGGCTTTTGGCAAAATGGAAATATTATTCCTAATATAATTTTGCAAGTCATGTACTCTGGAGCAGAGACAACTCATCTAAACACAGCAATTTGATACCTGTACTTTGCGTAGAGTCATCTAATGTACACTAACTGAATTGTTGATGTGTTGAGGCTTGTTTGGCATTTAGGAATAAAATGCACAGCAGCTGAGTGAGGATGAAAAGTGGTAGACCTAGCAAAACAGCAATTGTGATATCAGAAATGAGCTGTTTTGTCTTTCTTTCCTCCCACCTCTCTGCTTCCTTGAAATAGTTAAGGAATAATTGGTAACTTATACAGAAATCAGGTCCGACCAGAAGTCCAAAGTTGGAATCTGTAGTTCTCAGAAATCATACAAGTGTGACAGAATGCAAGATGAGCAATTCAGCTAACTGGCGCTATGGAACAGAATGGATGTTTCTGATTATTCAGCCATTAATAACAGTCTCCATAAGTGCTGATTAGGTTTTCGGTTCACAATCTTTCTTGTCCTACTTGAAAACCCCGTAGATTAATTTTGAGACACTTAAATGTGAAGACGTTGGTATACATTTTGCCTGTGTATAATATTTTTGCGCTTCCCACAGAACTCTAGCTGATAATGATGTACCAAATATTTTGAATTTGAAGCACCCCGTCTGGAGCTTTTAGCGTGTGCTTTTTCAAATTGAAAACAGCGTTCTAACCTTACAGGAAGAATTACGACACACTTCTGACAATTCCAGAAAAGTTTCCAAGCTCAAAATAGCCTCGTGTTTTGTGCTTGAAATTCCTGTTTCAGATTGGAACCCTGATGTTGTGTTGATCAGAAAACTTCTCTTAAAATAAGATTCCTTTGGTAGATTTGTGAACCGCCCAACAAGCCTGTTTGAAAACAAAAGCAACTGATTGGAACCCAAAATGGAGAGTTTCATGCTTGGCTTTTTTTGAACTGGAAACGTATTCTCCATCTCTATTTGGTGGGCCCTTGAGTGGGGTGGAGGGAAGTGAGATAAGTTTTTAGTGTTTGTTGGTTTAAAACATTTATCCAGTCACCCATCTTATAACCAACTCTGAGTGGCTCCTAATCAAAAGTGAAAACAGCACAAAAGCCATAATAGGGCCATTATATTATAATAAAAACAAAGCGCGTTTAAAATAACAAAAACGTGGCTCTGTCATCTAGCCTTTGGTTCAAGCCCTTGGAGGCAGAGGGAGATCTTCAAAGCTTTGCAGATGATTAGGAAGGTCGAGGCCTGGCAGTCTTAAAGTGGGTGTCCCATGGGGTAGGGGCTGCCATAGAAAAAGCAAGCTTCGTAGCTCCCAGCAGATGTCAGTTTTTAGAGGAAGGAACCAGGACCATGCCATTTCTATCTGCTCTGGTTGGATGGTACAGGTAGTCCTTGACTTATTGACGTCGTCTCATGACAGTGTGGTGTGCTGGCTTGACAGCCGTGGATAGAAAGACACTACAGAGAGCGGTGGGCATACCACAAGACATTGTGGGCTGTTCCCTGATACCACTAGATGACCTCGCTAGGGCTTGATGCCTTAGAAGAGTGAGGAAAATCCTCACATCCCGGGCAGCACTTCTTTACTCTCCTACCATCAGGTAGGAGATAGAGAAGGATAGGCAGCCGCACCAACAGGCTAAAGAACAGTTTCTACCCGTGGGCTGTCAGACTCCTGGACGGAAAATAACTTCATGTCAACATAGTAGGACAGACTTGCGGGGCCGGCGCGTTGTGCAACAAGGTCACATGGTTGTAACAAGATTGGGACTGGGTTAGGGACTTCTGTCCTCACTGTGAGTTGTGTGTGTGTGTCTGGGGGGGCGTGCACGAAGGGAGGCTCAGCCAATCTCATACACATGTTGTTCTCTGACAATAAAGATAATAATAACTTACA